TCTAATGGTTGGTATGTCGTGAGTTAGAGAGAGGTAGTCGTAGTACCGTAGTGTTGCCACGGTGCCATTTGTGTCGGCAGAGTAAAATTTGTTATCACCCATACTGTTTTTTTTTATATATTTGAGGGGTCGACTTTTGACCACTATCTCGCCTGGTGTTAAGCGATGATGTGGTCTACGATGGAGCATGTCGAGTGTCGACCCATAAGCAAACTATTCACTCAGCCTTGAACTCACCCTTCAGGAAATACACTTGGCAAAGAATTCCACTCCTTAGCAGTACGCACAAGGTAAATGCCACCTCGAATCTGCCTACTAAGCATAGAGATTATGGCCAACCCTCATATTAGCAATGGTGAGGAGGCTCTTAATCCAGTACTGGACCCTGACAGGCTGTTAACTCATAGGTAATTATTAGCTTACCAGCTCTCTACGTCTAAGTTTCATATCTAATTAATAAGTATGACCTAATATGCCAAAGAATATGGATCTCATCAACAAAAAATAATAACAATATCGTAATCAAGTAAGACTCCTTCCGATAATATTACCACAAGGAAGAAACTTCAGAAATTGGTTTAATTAAGCCAGTCAATTAATAAAGGAATTTTCTAATCGAAGTGTGCAGTAAAAAGATTTATCTCTGGTGCGCCGGCGCACATTTTGCCGTTAGCGACCTCTAGTGTGGGGTAATTGGAATATCGATATCGACAAATTTATCTCTATCGAGATTTTGTCTAATTGGATTGCTGTTTTTGCTATGGTTGGGTTTTTTCTAATTAGACCTTGGGAGTTCCTTGTTTTTCTTCGATCTGGTTCTGTAATCAGAAATTGTTATATTTGTTAGGGCCAATAAGTTAAAAATATATGTTCTTTTTTCTAGATAAGACTCTTACTGAAAATTACAGTATTTTTTATTACAATAGATAAGTATATATCGTACCTTTACATTACAATATGGGGTCTAATAACACTGTGAAGCACGAGGGTCCCAAATTCAATCATCAGGAGAACTGGTCAAGACAGCACCTGAAATTAAATTAAATTTATTTCCCTTTTTACATAATATTGTGTACAGATTGGAGATGGGATTAGTATCTCTCTTATTGGCAATCTTTGTTTTCTAACTGCAAATAGGTACATAGTTTTCGACACAATCATTTTTATTCTCTGGTTATCCCCTCATCATTCTTATCCAGTAAGACAATAAAAATTGATTAGAAAAGCCTCTACTCTCCCCCACTTTGCCACTAATTAACTACGTACGATGAAGTCATAACTGTCTAAATTATCGATATAATTTTATTAGATTTACAACAACACTAATAACAATCTTATAAAATTGTATATCAATATGCCGATGAGTACATTGTAACAAAATAAAACATTCACATACATACCTACATACATATATATATTATAACCTCACGCCTCTCTTCCTTGGGGGTAGGCCTCTGCCTGCCTATGAGTGTCAATCATTTTAGTTTTTTGGAATGTTTTTGACTTGACTATTTCTTATGGCATAAGCCGGTAAACGACCAGACTGATCACCTGATGGTAAGCAATCGGCGTCGCCCATGGACACCTGGAACATCAGAGAAGTTACAAGTTCGTTGAAAATCATTCAAATTCAACAACATTGAACATCGTTCAAAATCAAAATCATTTATTTCAATTAGACCAGGAAGGCACTTTTGAACGTTATATAAATATTAAATAATAAGAAAAAAAAGTCCATTTTTTACAATACACTTTTGTAATATTCTTACATTGTCTTGAAACTCCGAAGGGGCAGGCAGGTTCCATATTGCTACATATTTTATGTAACGTCCATATATCACCAACCATGATGAAGCCCATGTTATTGAGGGAGAGCCTATTGCCGGGCACAATTTCGTGCCCCTTTAAGTCTTAAAATAACTCATTCAACTTTAAAACCACAATTCAACCATAACCACAGACTACATTAATAGTTATTTTACCATGGTTTTAGAAAAAAAATGGTTCACGTCTAAACGTCACATTACTGAGTTTAATTTGGCATTAGTCTATTGACCACAAGTAATGATAATGATAAACGGCTTCGTTGGCCGAGTGGTCGCAAGTGCGACTGCCGGGGCAAGAAGTCTCGTGTTTCTTTCGGGCAAAGTATTAAGGGGTAAAAATCGGGTTCGACTCCCGGTTCGGGCAAAGTATTAATGGGATTTAAATAAAATTCTCAGTAGTAGCACGAAGTCTGAAATTGTGCCCGGCAATAAGCTCACCCCCTATTACATGAGACTCATAACATAAAATAGTGAAAAGTGGGTACCCAAGGCGGGATAAAAAAACCCATACCGAAGCATGGCTCTCCCACCTGTATCTATTTATACTACCTACATTCTAATCTATAAAAAAGTCTTTGCCACTTTAGCCTTTCTTTATTTGATTCTTGCAGCTAACTTTGAAGCTCCATTTTTAATCAAAACTTACTTACTAACACTACGTCATCCTGTCCAAATCCACTATGCGCTCTACACTCACCGATCATTATCATCATATTCATATTATCAGTCATAGGACTTCCACTGCTGAACATAGGCGTCCCCTAATGACTTCCAGATTGGCCAGTTGGTTCCAGGGAGCCACTTACCAAACACACGACTAAAAGAAATCTATACTTACCTCCTCTTCGCGACCCAGCCATCGCGAAGGACACTCCGGGCGTCGGGGATCGCGGGACGATCTCCGGCTATTGTAAGCGCGGGCCTGCGGACGGCGAGCATGGGTAGCTCGCCGCCCAACCAAAACCAGAGCGTACGACTCAAAGAGCCATCAGATCACCACGAATGTGGCCCAATAGGGCTGATGCCGATACGGAGTCGCGGAGAACCTAATGAGTTACCGGGGCTCCGGCTCGAAGTGCATGAGTAGGAACGGAGTGGTTTTTAGTCAGTAAGAGTTGACACTCCGTCCCGCCTCACCCAGGCGGGAGAAGCCACGCGATGAATTTTCCCCCTTAAAAATACTTACCTACTTAGTTGAATTATTAGAAATATTTCAACAAATTCCATACGAGACGTCCATCTTTCTCAGCGCTCTAAACAGAAGTAGTGAAGTAGTTCATTATCTGTAGCATACAAAGAGCTCTATGATAGTAACATACTTACGTACGACTTTATACTTAGTCGATGATAACGCGGTTATTTATAAGATGTGCTGTATTCATAGTCGTGGATAGATTGTCGCTTTGTTGAAATGTACTAGTTAGCGTTGAGTAGTGAGAGTAATCTAAGTAAAAAAATATGGCATATTATACCTGTAGTTTGCTTCTATTCATTTATATTTCGCTATAATTTTGAACCCGTAATTAAATACACACAAATTATTCAATAAAAAGTTTTATAGAAAAAGGCGATTGCTGTTTGGTACCTACTTCAAATAACTTTGTTTGGCTTCATTTCTTCAGAACAATATCACTCTGAGTGACTGACAGACGAACGGACAATTCAATTTTACACGTTTCAAAACGGTGCCTGATTAAGGATTAATTAAAATAAATGCTTTGACTTTGACTGTATATTGTAAAAACAACGTTACACTGTAATTAATTTTATCTATACAATTTTCACTTTCATACTGAGTAGGTACATAATATTACATTTTTTATTCTATTTAACTACACTATGAATACGGCCATAGAGCTTTTTTTCCTCGCAAGAGGGCGGGGTTATCGCGGAAAAGTTGTGGATTTTTCAAAATTTTATCAACTGCACGTTGAGATAACGTGCACACTAGTGCATTCAAGTGATGTGCAATTGCAAACTGAATCGAGTTCGACTATAGTGCGGTATAATCGATCGAGTAAATTAGTTTATTTTGAGAAATGTTTAAAAATCGCCTAAATCTTGATTTTTTTTTAATTATTATTTTTTTTATGCGTGAATATCGAACTTTTTGTTAATGAGTTTAGTAGACATATCTTACATAGATAGTACCTAAAAATCGAAGTAAATAATAACAATGATTGTCACAATTTTATTTATTAACAGCCAATAAAAAAGCACTTTTTCTAATCCATTATTTCCTTGTCTCGATACAGTAAAACAATTGGCCTCTCCAATTCACGACTGACCATAAAAAGGCTAATAAATTAAAATAAACCGTAATTGGTTTAAATAAAAGATTAACATCAAGACAATTAGTGACGTTGTCTTGTATTGAATGATACAGGGGTATATTAAAACGTTTTTTAAACCCATTGAATTATTAGTTATGTACCATCGTGGAGTATTTTAATGACACGTGAACATACTGAGAAAAGCTCTACTAGTTTCCAACCACAGAGGGGTTCTTACTCATGAGGAGCGTGCGCAGTCGTGGCGATATTGCGCAGCCTACTGGCGTTAATTTAGTATGTCTCACGATAGTTACTATAAAAACATATTTCAATTCTAATAGCTCTTTTTTGGGTTTAAAAACTAAAATAAAAAATAATAACGGTTTTTATCCTCTCTGGCTTACAGTACCTAAGATAAGGTTTTTTTAATATAAGAGAATTTAGTAGGTAACTTTTAGAAATAAGGATTACAAATATGTTCAATTTAAAATACACTAAAACTACGTAATAGAAAAAATTATAGGTTTTTTTTAAGTTTAAGTTCTGGTTACGTAAAACTTAGATTTGTTTTGTATATTGATATAAGTTATGAGAATTCAAAATTTATAAGAATGAGAGCAAACGGGGCTCAGTAGTCGCAAATAAAAGTTAGATGAACATAAATATGTAACATTTACACTGTAATTGTCGAAACAAGCGGCGGAGGACTTAACGGGTTACCGGGGCTCCGGCTCGAAGTGCAGAAGTAGGAACGGGGTGGTTTTTAGTCAGTAAGAGTCTGACACAAAACTTAGTAACAAAAAATGCTTCTTAAACATGACTTAGAAAAATAAAGGCAGCTGCTTCCGACTAAGTCCTGTAAAGTCAGATCTGTTTTCGACTTAGAAATCCCGTAAAGTCATTTACCTTGAGTCATAGTACTAGACTAAAATCTAGACTTTGATCTTAAAGCAAGAAAGTCACATCACTAAACTATAAAGTAGACCAAGGAACGCAGCACTCGAAACGAAATGACGTATAACAGAAATAAATTCGATTAAAATGAAATGTTAACCCCTTGGGTATTGGGTTGAAAGTTGAGTGTGTGTGTGGTGTTTTTATGCTGTCCAAGAATGCATAAAGAGTGCATTTTTTTCGTTAGAAAAAAGATAATAATGCTGCGTTTTAAATGGAAATTTTATAAGTTGACGCAGAGCGAGGCGGTTGTTTTTTCATACGAAAGAGGTAAAAATTTTCCATTGTTATGTAACTTTTTAATTTTTTGCTTTTTTACTTTTTTACATTTAATGGTTTTGAGTTTTTTTTCTGTGGTTTAAAGTGTGCTTTGAAGGTTGATATAAAGACTGTTTTGTGAGAAAAACGTGGCGTTTCGGAACGTGTTTTACGGAAAGTTTATTAGGTACGCCATTAGGGTTTTTTGAAGGTTAGTGAAAAAATGTGAAATAAAAATATCGTACAATAGGAATGTATTTCGTACAAACGAATTTTTGGCCGTTTTCTGAATTTCCAATTAGGATTCTTGGATTTTTGTAGGTTGCAAATAACGTGGTTGACATGTTTTTTCAGAAAAGTGTTTTTTTAATAGGTCCGTCCGTCGATATTATCGGTACGACCGCGCACATGACTTTGGTCAAAAATATTTAGGTAAATAATATTTGAATTAGAAATTAAAATCTAATTAGAACATTCACGTTTTATCCGCTCGTCGATAGATGTCGCTTTCCTTAATTATTGTCTAATTAACTTCTAGTAGTGCCATAAGGTCATCGAATTTATAAAGCGTAGGGATTAAAAGAAAGGAATAATATAAGGAAACAATCATGTTTGGATTGAATAGTGATATGTGTGAAGTGAATATTTAAGAAAATATGACAATAATTAATAACGCGTTTTATACAAAACAAGAACAGAAAGCCTCTAATCAAATAAAAAATATACTTTTTTTTAAACAAAAATGCGTATAAAATAATAGAACTTCAATAAAAAACCGACCCTTACAACCAGACCTATGATTAACAAAATTATGCAGTGTTAAACTCATACAAATTGTAATTCTAATACAATTTGACAGCTTCACAGACTATAAAACACATAATAGGCACAAAAAATGCACCCCACGGGCGTAAAACCCCTTTAGAAAAAAAAGGTGGCACGCACGCCACCAATTAACTCATTTTTTTTTCTAAACGCCGTTTATAACTTTTTTTTTCGACTTTTTTATTGGTTGAAACGATAGGAGGGGCGTTTTTTTTTTTGTTTTTTTTTTTACTCGTGGCAAGATTAACACTTGGGGTTTTTTCGAGCTACCGTTTAAAAACATGGGATTTGACATGCTATGTTTGGACAAGGCTGTTTTTTTTTTAGTTTTTTTGTTTAAATTTTTTTTTGTCTTTTTGATATAGATTGATACTTTTGTAAATTGTTTAACGGTCGATTTGAGGGGTGGGGTTTTTTATATGTCCTGCCTATTTCTTTATTTGATTAAAGGGTTATTTTTTATTTCTTTTTGATTGCGTTGAAGTGTTAGTATTGGGTTACCATAGCGGAATGAATTTTAAAATTATGACAGTAACTGGCGCGTGATTATTTGTTTTTGATTTATTATTAGATTTTGATTTATAATTAGATATATTATTTGTTTTAGATAAATTTTAATTAAGGTTCATTTTCATTTGATTTTTTTTATTAATGCTCGATTAACGCTTATCTAGCAAAACTATTTATTCTACGTTTACTTATTTGTTTTTATTTACTTTTCATTTGTACTAATATAAATAATAATTAAGCTTGTACTTTCTTCAAATAACATTACTTGTAATAGTTTTCTTCATACTATAATTAGAACAGTTTCCCAATGGGGTAGGCAGAGATAAAAACAATGATAAAGAAAATTACAAACAGAAAAACTCAATAATTGAAATCAAGACTTATCGACATATGGATCAAAGATCAACATAGGTACATGACAATCATAATACCGTCATGTCTAGGTGACAGGCAGAGAGGGTATCGCTGTAACCCATTTCTTCAACAATTTGAACACGTGCAATGATCAAAATAGACATTAATTCCGTCTTAGAAATTTCCTTTAATAGCAATCAACTGTTGGTTACCTAACTGTTTTTATTAATTTAATATTTCGGGTTTTTGGAGGCCATCTTAAGTCATGGTATAAGTATTTGCGGTAATAATAAAAAAATCATTTGATAATTTTTAACGTAACCTATAAACTTTAAATAAGTAACTTTAAAACTATTTTAAGTAACAGTCGCTTACCATATCCTAGTTTTCTTTTAAATATAATATAGAACGTATTCTATTTTTTTTTTAAATAGAGTTCAGTATACTTCTATATGGTTAAATACAAATCCAATTCGAGAATCGAGTCATATAGCCAATTTTCTTGTGTATTTTCTCCACACCGACACTAAAATTTGGTATAAAAAATTATTCAATGGAAGAAAGAGAATGACAATAAGTAGATAACTTTAATAAAACCTATTTTCTTATAAGTAGATAACCGTTTTAATATCCTTGAAGAGTCTAAACATACTACGATATTATCATTATATTTCCATATTGACATAACCTTTCAAATTTTCCTGTCAAATGTCACAAACTGACAGCGTCCTATTTAAATGGTACACTCATATTTCTTATCCATTAATATAAAATCCACTCCAATCATATAAAATATTCAATAAAAATACAAACTTCTGTTTGTGTACTACGCATTTCGTTTCGTAGTTATCGATCACACAGACACACGGACAAACATACAGCTTTTGTTCGTAGTACAGTTGTCACGGAATACTCCCATCAATAATGTTCTTAGTGATCGGTAAGTGAGGAGATGGCTCTCTTGAAAAATGTAAATAAGAAGGACTAACCAAATAACATTACGCCTTTAATCCCCGAAGAAGTAGACAGAGGTGCACATTACGGCACTAAATATCACTTGTACAGTGACAGTAGCACAGTCTAGAATTGTGCCCAGTATATGGTAATAGGCTCACCCCCTATTACATAACATAAATAGTGAAAAGTGGGTGTTACATTGTACAGAGGCATTAAGTGCCGTAATAAGCAGCTCTGCCTACTCCTTCGGGGATAAAAGGCGTGATGTTATATTATTTTTATGAAATTAGCTCAATGTGTAGAATCAGATCTTGTCTTTCATAAAGATTGACTTCTATTCTTTTATAAAGGTCCACAATTAGTTCATTCATGAGTTATTAAATTGCATAAGAGGTTCAAACGGTATCTTGGAAAAACTATTCGCACTTATTGCTAACTAGCTTTAACCCGCGGCTTCGCTCGCGTCACAAAAGGATAAAAAGCCAATGTGACATATACCAATGCACACAGCGCCATCTATACCAATACTTTTGTTTTTCCTCGGGAATATCAAATTTTTCCGGGATAAAAAGTACCCTATTATTTAATCCGGACTGCTAACTATACATCTGCAAAAATTCAAAGCAATCGGTTTAGTAGTTACGACGCTAAAGTGGAACAAACAAACAAACAAACTCACTTTCCGATTTATAATATAAGTAAGGAAAGTAAGGATAGTATGCTTATGTTAATATAAGTACCCCAAAAAAAATCGACCTACAAAGAAAGTCTACTCCATACATCCTAATCTTAACCCTTTACGTTTTCTTCCAAAAATGATTAAAAATAGGTCGCGGTGCGTGAGCGGGGCGGTCGTTATGACCCCACACGAAAAATTCGAACAACCCTTTCAATGCTAACCAATTTCTATTTTTAGTATCCATTTTAATGTGTTTTCGATCGATGTTACAGGTAACGTAACGTAAAATAATGTAACATCATGGTGTTTTAAATTTTTAAAAGACTAGCAGTATAGAACAGCATAGCATATAGCTAGTACAGTATTAAGCAGTTACCTATAACATTTTTCGTCACTCAAATCAACAGCCTATAAGTTCCCATTCTGGCCAAAGGAATATTCCCACACGTAGAAGGTTTGAGCATTAATCACCACGCTTGCTCAATGCGGGTTGGCGATTTAAAACTTATAATTAGAAATATTAAGCCCAGGTTTCCTTACGTTTTCCTTCACTGTTTGTCAGTGTCATGTCTAAACTTAGAAAGTACTTATAACTCGGAAAAAGTCACATTGGTACTTACTATTGGTAGGTTTTGAACCTGCACCCTCTGCATAAGAAACGAGCGTCTTAGATCTCCGGGCCACCACGATATACACCACAATATTTTCGTCACTAAAGCAAAATAACAAAATTTTTGGTATTAGTTAGGTACTATCATTACGATTTAAATTCTAAGATAGACAATTTTAGTATCATTTTGTTGGATTTGGTATTCCATTTGACATATTCAATAAAATAACAGTCTATAATCTGCAACAGACTCATTTCGAATCAACGTAATATTAATAACAAAACTCGCGAACACCATATCAATATATTACATCTAAACAACAAAAAATATGCACAAACGACATTAAAACCTGACCATATCAGTCAAATCAAAAGCCGGTAAACCCCTGTTACACCTTGTCAAAATCCCATACTTCATTGCCAACACTAGGACCTCAAAAAAACCTAACAAATATTATAACCCTTCAAACGAGATGAAACACAACACTTAAAAGTCTTTCATCAACACAAAAAACCATACAAAATCTATTTGACCCTTAAATCTATGCAAATCAACTTTTAAATTCAAAAGGTTAGCAACGGTACTAATAATGACGCCATTTTTTGTTTCTATTTTCAAAAACAAAAAGGAACCGGTTGTTTTTGGCCGATAGGGGGTCCTTCTTTGTTGTCTATGGGAACGGCATAGACAAGATTGCAAGATAAAAGAGTTTCTTGGACTAGTTCGTGAGAATTTGATGTGCAAACGGATAGAAAGATTGTTTAAATTAGACATGGATGGGTGTTTGGAGGGGTGTGTATGAGAAATAGTCATTGAGTCTAGAATTATAATCTAGACTTCTTAGTGCTTTGTGCTTAGGATTATTCATGATCGGCCTTACCTGTTTGGCTAGAATGTGATTTTCGAATCTTCACTTAACAATCTCAGTGATTCTTAATATTGTGAATGTGGATAGTGACAACTGGTGAATGTTGTTGCTGTTCAATACTTTTTCATAATTTCAATAAAGTTCTATTAAATTTTGCAGGTAGATATTCTGTTTTATATATTGTCAGCGCTTAAATTATTTTTAAATT